CATAAGGTCCATGGGCATTTAACTTTTCATCTGTTAGCGACCATCACATTACATTTAATTTAAAGTTGTGAAGCAGATTTGCCTCATGGGTTAGATTTGTTGATCTTCCATTTACTCTAAAGCAAAAAACATCCAGGCTTAAAGGGGATTCATCTTAGTTAATGGCATAAACCATATTTTCAAAGAATCCATTTTAAACTGCTTATGATTAAAAACAACTGCACACGCAGGCAAATGAATTTCTAAGATAATACAATACAGAATATATACTAAAGTATACAATTAACTTTCCTTATGGGTTTGACAAGATGCTAAAGGAAGAGAAGCTTTAAGAAGAATATGGAAAACATTGCAGAGATGAGGACAGTAGTCTCAAAGAGTATTTAAAAAAGCAGAAATTATCACTAAGTGTTAGGCATGGCAGCAATATATCATCTGTAATGTATTTATGCTTTTACAATGCAAGATTGAGGGATTCTTCCACTTTGAGAGGTTTCTGAATACTAAGACATAGCCCAAAAAAAAAAAAAAAAATCAGTATGGAAAAAGAATTGCCTATATCAAAGTTCACTATAAACTTTTCTGCCCATCTAATTGCAGATATTCAGAAGAGGTACTAAATTTTACCTAAGTCACAATTTGTTATACTAGACTTTCTTTTTATCTAGAGGAGAAGAAAAGTGATGCTGGGGAAGCAGCAGGAATTGGGCTTAAATAAAACCAAATAAACAGATTTACAAATGTGGAAGGCACTTTGTAATAAGTAAGTTAACATTTTGCATATTCTTTCTCAGTGTGTATGACAGACACGGTGAATTGAACATATTGCTCAATTTCCCTCTTCCAAAATGTTTGTCTTTCTTTATCATTCCAATCACACTAAGAATGAAACAAGAACAGAATCGGATTGTGGCTCTTTAGACATGTAACAAATCTTTTCTTCACTAGATGGCACCAGTCTACTCCTATGAATCAATGTGGAGTGTGGGGGAAAAAAAAAAAAAAAAAAAAAAAAAAAAAACGGTTTTCATAGAAGAATATAAAGAGGACTTATTATTTATGTTACATGCTTTTACTGTTTCTTTGTCTTCTGCATCATACCCTTTCTGTACTCTCAGAGGTAAAGTTTCACATTTATAACATACATCTACTTCAATTGTTAAGTTCAATATTTGTGTCAAAACTGATTACAGCCCAGAAATTTCCATTAGAGATGAATGCATTATACCAGATCAGACTTTGAACAAAAGTGGTCAGAAAAAAAACTATATACATCGAAATACTTCTCTTTCTCTTTCTTTCTGAAATAAGCATAAGTATGAAATGTTTGAAGATACTGTGCCAGATCCGCAGCAGGTATAAATCAATTTGGATTCACTGAAGTTGATTGATGCCAGGAGAAGATCTGCACCTGCATTTAGATGCTGGCCTGCAGGGCACAGCTTGACTTGTTTCCTTTTTCATAACTCCAAGGCATGATAATTGAACTCATTTGGACACAATTCTCACTTTTTAGTCAAAATTCCCACCTAGCTATTGGCATTGGACTTAAAATCAACACACATCTCTTTGTTAAAAATCAAAATAATCTTTTCACAAAGAAGAGGAAAAAGCTGACTAAAGACTTCAGGGATGGGAAATTGTTGTTCAATACCACATTAATGGCTTCATTCAATAACATGGTAACTCTGATGCAAGCAGAAGCAAACTACTGCTCAGCTACATCGTTTTGCATTTAGTTGCCTCTTGCTGCCACTAGATGATAGTATGGTAACACATGTATAGTTCAGCTGCACACCAGATCTTCAGTTGCTGAATTCTTGGCAGTATTCACACCTTTATATGAAAAGAACATACAGAAAGGCATCAATACTACATAGTTAGCCTTTGAATATTAGTGCTTAATTTTATCCTCAGTGACTTTATACATTAATATATCCAGTATTAGTAGATAATATTCGGCCATAGACCTAAACTGGACTTTATTTAGGCACAGATATTATGCTGAAATGGTCGCCTACCTCCATTTTTGTAGATATCCAGCCAGAGCCATAGCGATACACTTTGATAGAAAGGGCAGGATAATTATGTTTCCCTACCAGGAAGCACAAGAATGTAAATGACATTTACATGTCTCCTTATGGGCAAACCATTCGCTTCTGGTTCTGCACATCCACTTTCTGCTTCTCACAGCTTTTCTATTTCATGCTCTCACCCTTGAGAGGACTCCCCTCCTCACCCAGAGAAGCTCCCAGCTAGGAGGAGACATGCAGCCGGAACAGCACCTTGGGCACACAGCTAACAACAGCTAACAACCCCTCCACAAATTTCTCACAATTCAACTGATGTGGGTTTTTTTTGTTTGTTTGTTTTTCTCTCCTAATACGTCAAAATTAAAACCAAACTCCTCATTCTCTCAAGCTCCTCTGTAAATAGTCAAAACCCTCCACCATATGTTTTTTTTTTCCCTCTATATTAAGACTCCCATTTCCTTTTATCCACAATAACGAAGTCAGTTCTCCTCTCAGTAAGCTAGTCTGCTTCTCCCCAACCAGGAGACACCACAGGAAACAGGTGAGTGGCTGGCTCCAGTCCTGCACAACACCTCTCACAGCCAGTTTCATGGATGCACTTGCACTTCCAGATGCCCCAACAGACAAAGAAGTGTCTTGGTACATAGCCTCTGGCAGAGAAGCTGAGTGATGTGGATCTATTGGCACCACAAAGTAAGAAGAAAATTGAAAAAGAATCTCCAGTGAAGAAGAATTGACCTTTGGAATACATTCATACGTGCATTTATACAGAGAGCCAAGTGAGCAGAATACCTGAAAATAAAGGCTAAGAGAAAGTTGCACAAAAAGTGTAAGGGGTAGAGTAGCATGTAATCATTGTTTGGGCTGTAAGACAGTTTGTCTACTCTAAGATCTGGCCACCAGCACCACAAGTCACAGACTTTCTCATCAAAACTGGAGATGGATACTAGGGGAAAACTGAAATTCCCTTTTTGCTAAGAATTTGGTTACTTTGATGTCTTTTGTTTTAATTCAGGATGAAAGTATATTAGTAAGATTTTTTTTTAATTTAAAATACTTGTATTCATTTTAGATTGTGTAATGATTGGACACCTGTAATCATGTGTAAGTAGCTAGTTATATGGCATAAAACTTAAAAGACTCATTTTCATTAACAATAAGAATATCTTCTATTTAATATTGATTGACCTATCTATTGTTTTATATTCATTGTTAACAGTGCCAGAGCAGTCCTGGAAGGAGAAAATGATTTAAGCATCAAACTCTTTCAATATGACAAATAAGAGAACTCTCAAAAATAAAATAACATGTTGTAACTGGAAGCTAAGACATAAAGAATAAAGTAAAAAATTTCAAGTGTTATATTGAATGCTTTAACTGATATGGTGTAAAACACATTAACAATGGTATAAAAAATTGAATCCCTTTATAGGTCAGTATGAAGCTTCAGAACTCAGAAATGGAATTCCTGAAGGAAATATCTCGAAAAATGTCAACTTAAAAATTCTTTGTCCATCTTGAACTTTCACCTTATTTTACATGGAAAATGTATTTAATTTCATTTTATCTCATTTTCTTCAAAAACCATTGGGAAAAAAAAAAATCCAACCAGCTGCTATTTTATAATATATATTTGAACTGGCATTTTATGTGTTTATTTAAAATGATGCACTCTATTTTTCTTGTATCAGTAAGAATGGTTTCTATCCTGTGTATAAATACTAAATGTTACAGTTCTGCTCTGTGACTTTAGACATTTTAAAACTAAACTCATAGCCAGGGAGGTGTTCTGCTGCTAACCCGCAGCCTGTTGTGAAACCATATTTTCATGGATTGTCACATCAGCTGTCAGGATGCAGTAAGGACCATCTGGTCCACAAGAGATAGCAAACTGGGACCCAAGCATGACAAGGCAAGTGGAGATAACACCTTATACCAAGGTGCTAGGTTGTAGAGTGGCAAATCTGAGTTAGGATCAGGGCCAGGCAGTGGTCAGGGTCAGGCACCATCAGGTGATCTCCTAGGAAGTTCACAGCGATGAGGAAGCTTGGTCTCAGCCAGCTTTACCTTCTCCAAGTCAGCTCTTAGGAGGGGGATACATACCTGTCCTGACATCAGTAAAATAACAACTCAACCTTAACACCTAAATGTGAGGAGTACAGTTCAATAAAATTTGTATTTTGTGTGAAGAAGCCATTCAAGAGTACGCATAGGTGACTGTGTAAAAAAAAAAAAAAAAAAAAAAAAAAAAAAAGCTGTTATTGTTCCTCTCTTAAAATGCATCAACTTGCCTATTAATTAAGAACAAAATAGATAATGGCTATGGCGAATTTTTTATGAGGATAAACCATCCATCAAGAGTAAAGAATGCAAAAGCCATTTTGGAAACTTGACAGTGCGTGCTTGGCAGACAGACATGCTTAAAAGGTTTCTGTAGAGCTAAACAAAATGAGTAATGATCTAATGAAATAGGTTTTAAAATACATGGAAAATGCCTCAAATAAACATTGTATGATTTTTTTCCTCACAGTAGCTCTGAATTCTACTGGAAACAACAGAAGTCTTACCATGCTCTTCAGCAGGCTTCGTGCAGGCTGAGCTACACAGAGCATTGATTTCTGCCTCCAGCAAGGGTCCACCTATGGAGGTCAGCAACTGGAGGATGATAGAGATGATCAAGGGCTCAGTCATTTCCAAACCCTGTCATTTCTTGCCCAGTTCCACAGAGAGGTAAATATCAGAAGCGCAGTCTCTGCTCCTTGCAGGATAGCTACAGACCTTATGCATCAGCCTTGTTCCTCCCACCCAAACAATGAAATAAGGACTGTGGCAGACAAGAGAATACACAGGACTCTGACAACACAGCTAATTTCCTTTCCATTTCATATATCAAGAACTGCAAATATATATATATATATATATATATATATATATATCCTGACAAACATGAAAACTGGGGGAAGTAAATGTTTTTTACATTGCCTTTATTTTTCATCTCACATTTTAATAGAAACTCAGACTGCTTAAATGCTCTACACATCAAGGCAATCATTATAAATGTGGTGTGGCTTCCAGCTAAAATAGGAGCATTTGGCATCTGAAAAAGCTTCCCACCTCCTCAAAAGGCCTCTTTTCATGTTTCTGAGGAAACTGAACATTACAGCAGAGACTTTGAAAACCTGGGTGAAAAACAAACAGTTAGCAACTTCAGCACATACATAATGAGGGAACTCCAGATATCTGTAACTCAAGTTTAGACTACTTTTAATATAGCTTCAATGATTTGACAGAAGTGTGTTGGAGATTTGAAGGGCTTCTGAGGATTTCTATAGCAGGCAGGAAACAACCATGATATTCATAAGGCACTATTCTAATCAAACAAATTGCTCTGCTAGAATTGTTAGTTCCCTGCAAATTCTGTAGAGTCTTTGAATATTAGTGTAGAGCCATATTCACATTATTTAATAGATTTCAATATACAGTTTGAAGAAAATCTGACATACAAGAATCATACCTACATTCAGAAGAAAGAAGATAAAGCAATGAAAGATTTCATTTCTTAGTGTGGCTGCTCTGGAGATGGACTGATATTCAAATACTATAGGAATTTACTACTAATCTTCAAAATTAATAGCAAACATATATATATATATATACATATAATAGATTCAAATTCACAGAGTAAATATATAAAACCAAATGGTTTGTTTTCTTATGTATATAATAATAGCGTCACATCAAATGTTGTTGGACTGTGGATATGAACAGAACTGTGTGATCATTGGTTGCTTAGGTACCATGGCACTGTAGAGTTGATTTGAGTTTGTCTTGCCTTACTGTGGGGCAATCTCTTGAACCAGGTTAGATCCATTCTGCATATGTTGCAAATCTCCCATAACAATCAGATATTTATATTGATTACTGTGTTATACAAAGGTTCATTTCTCCTTAAAGTTGATCTTAAACCAGGGTATTCTGAAAAAACACAGAGATTTTGTGGTTACCTTTCTATGCCTAACAGCAAGATAAGATGGCATGCCTCCTTGGAAGACCCAAAGTAATTCATCGTTTATTTTATGAAATTATGTTGTTGCTGTTTTTTAATGTACATCAGCTTTTCCATCAGATGCAATTGTAAATTGGGTACATAAATTATTTGTACAAAATGGCATTATTGCTATATACATAAACAGGAATATTTTGGTAACTTTTCCTGCTTTTCAGAGGGTCACCCCTGCAATTTGAATAAACAAAGGCTGCTTTCCTGCCAAAAGGAACTACAAGCTAAACCACTCCTGTGAAATTTGTTGTCTACTTATGAAGTCAATTTTAAATTGTGGAGAGTTTTTTGTTTTGGTTTGGTTTTTGTTTTGTAACATGATGCACCAAGATCATCCTATAAAAATTGAAACACAGTTACTTTAAGAAATTATTTTGAGCTTTAAATAGCTCATTCACTGAGTCATTCTCAACCAAAGAATGCAGAAAATCAAAATCATACTTTGACCTTTAACTAACCCCAAAGCACCCATTTGGCATGATCCCTCTTTCAGTACTGAATTACAAGAAGCTAGTCCCCTCCTAGCACTAAAACTGAGTTTACAGAAGGACCTCCTCATCTGTGAATATTTTAATAAAGAAACTTTACAAAATTGGTAGGACTCCTGCTTTGTTCACTTGCTTTAGCTATTAAAAAAAAAAAAAAAAAAAAAAAAAGTAACACCTTCACATCCAAAAAAAATACAGTAATATTTCTATTAATTGACTGGAGTATACAAAATATTTGCCTTCTTGCTGAAATATCCCTGTAGACCTACAAGTAATTAACATTTATAACTACAAAATTTGCTAAGATAAAAGAATATCAAGAATCTACTTTTTCAGAAATGATCAGTCTAAAAACTAGAGGCCAAATTCTGCATTCCCCTACAGTCATGCCATCACATTTGATAACTGTTGTGAGGTCAGAATTTAGTCCCAAACCACTTTTTCTTTTTTAATCTAAATAGTTATATTTTCCTACAAAAAAAAAAAAAAAAAAAAAAAAAAAAAAAAAAGCTGTGTCTTACTTATCAGTGCTCTTCCCTTCTGAAGGGTAAATACAGATATTTGAAATACCTAAATTGTATTTACAGCTGTACAACACCGATGTCACATACATGTAAAATATCACTTGTACTCTATAAACCTGGGCTAACTTGTACAACCTGCTTGAAAACATTTCTTAAAATAAAGAAAGACCAGACAAGATTACACATTTTCTTTGTCAAATTCGCACACAAAATACATGGTAATGTGACATGCAACATCATTCCACCCTCCAGACGCCACCATCTCCACACAGTCCTCCTCGTCATAAGCATTGTTGGGCTCCCCACTGCGCCACTTGTTGAAGGTCTGCATGGGCGATCGATCAGAATAGACAAAATTTCCCTCTTTCTCTAGGTCGTTAATCCCAATGAAAACTCTGGTGAGCCCAGCTTGGTTGATGTATGAGGCAATCAGATTGTTGGCATTCTCATCCTTGGGCATGCTCAGTGTCCCTCCTCTTCCGTGGCAGTAGAGCTGGGCTTCCTTGTATCTTTTCTCTTCCTTCACCAGCAGATATATCTTATTATCTGTCTCACGCACACCAGCAACAGCTGCGGGGGAGGGCAGTGCTGAAAAGTGAGCACTCGCATTTCTATAAACCAACTTACTGTACACCCCAAATAGCTTCACAAATCCGATGCAAGACGGTGATACTCTCTACGAGCAATTCCACCGGTAAAACATAGCAATGAGAGAGGAAAATATTTAAATAAAATTAACCTACCATTTTTTATGAATTTTAATTCCGTCGTCAGCTGGGCCACTTGGATATCCATTTCACCAATAGCCTTCCTTAGCTGGCTACACTCACAGGGAATGCCTATGAAATGATACAGGAATACTGAAGTGAAAAAGCTATCTAAATCCAGTAATTATCTTAATAATATCATGAAAAGGCGCAGACATCCACTGGGAGAGGGACACCTTCCTCATAAAAAATGGCCAGAAACCTGTGGCCTTTGCTAACATGTGCCATCAAATGATTCTCACCATTGTCTCAGCCTAGCCAGAAAACCTAATTGTGTGAAGCTTCAGCCCTGCATGGTTAGTGCTAAACTGAACACAGACAGAAATACCCTGAAAAAAAAAAAAAAAAAAAAAAAAAAGATTTTTTTTTGAACTAAAAATACCTGTCAAAGTTTCACACGAGTAAAACTGTTCTCTTCAGTCTTTACCAAAGAACACTTTTTCCACAGCAAAAATCTACCATGTGCATTGCTCACCTGTTCCTCACAAGGAATCTCACACAGAAGATCAAAAAGGCTAATGTTCCAACCATATAATGCACACAATTAGCTGAAAAATGTAGTTCTGTACATTTCAAAGTAGAGAAGTTACTGTACCTCTTTCAATAAAAGAAGACAATAGAAAGCCATCTATTACACCAAATTGATATTGGTTTGACAAAGATAATCTGAATGAGAATACTAAAAGGATAATTGTTACTTCTATGAGTTCAAATCTCAAAAGGAGGATCAATTACATTTTCCAGTTTTGTGTGTAATTATTCAAATCTGCATTTAACTACCCAATTACTCAGCTTAGGTATCTAAGTCAATCTAAGTACTGGGTAGTTATACTACAAAACTGTCCTTCTTGCCAATGTATATGGTACTCTGGCTCAAGAACTAGCGTGACAAATTATGTTCTCATGAGAAATCTAATAGGGGAACCTTTAGTGCACTCTGCTAGGAAGGAACAAATTGGGCAAAATCAGAAGCCACTTTTGTAAGACTCACACTTCTTGTGCCAGACATTCACCTTTCTTTCTGGAGGATTTGTATTCTTTGTAAGCTCCTGTTGCTACAATGGTAATTGATGGAGGGGGCAGTATCTCCCAACCTGCTCCTTTGTGTTGGCTGGAAGCCAGAGAATATACAGAGATGTCCCTTTCCACCAGTGACAAATTATATTGACAGTTGCATTTCAGTTCCCACTGGAGTGATCAAACCTCTAAGAGCTCTGAGACGTAGTTTCAATACACTGTAAGTCCAGCAACTACTGCAGATTCAATTTTTTTTTTTAAGTGAATTGATAATATTTCAGTGAATAAGCGAGGAGTAGCTATCTAAATATTTAATTTATCATCATTTCTCTCAGTAATTTAGAAAATATATATATTTTGGTGATGATGCGTGCATCTTCTAAAATCCTTCACATCATAAACAAAGTATGTCATAGATTACCTGGGTCACCATTAGGACCTGGTGGTCCTATGTCACCATTATCTCCTTTTTCACCTAAAAACATGAAAAGAATATAAATTTAAAGCATATTTTAGTTAACAAATAATTCAGCATTTTATTTTTTTCTCTAATAAAATCCAAATGTGCAAAGTAGAAGTATGACCAAACAAAAAATAAAGATTTTTCCATAGTAGTCGGTCCACAACAAAGGCAAGCCAAAGCTATGAAACGTGAACACAAGGCATATGTATCAATATTCATTTTTTGACATTCATGGGGTTTACAGAACCAATACATTCAGAAGTTGTAGAGGGAAAAGGGCTGTATATGCTATATTGGAGTCCAAAGCTTGATTCATAATCCAAATGCTTACATAAATATCGGTCCAAATGACTTAACCAAAGTCATTTAAGCATGTAGGGAGCCCATGGAGTATGCAGGATTGTAATTCAAGTCTTGTGGTTCTTAGAAGTCTTTCAAAATATAGCACATCTTCCCATGTACTTCTCTTAAATGTCCACAATTGTCTGTTGGCAATTTAAGTTCCTTATTTAGCCTCAAACCAGGATTTCCAGCTCTTAATGCTGCTGTCAGAGCAAAAGGTAACGGGCTGACAGATCTCAGTTTGGCTGACTACAGTATGAGAAACTCCCTATTGCAATGAAGTCTGAGAGTAGCTAACCAAACATAAGCGATCAAAGATTTTTCATCTGAAACAATGCAAAAACGATTGTACTAAGCATACCTTTTGAACCAATAGGACCAATTTTTCCATGCCGTCCCATGCTGCCTTTCTGTCCTTTGTCCCCCATTTCTCCTATACATAGCAGAAAGACAAAATAAATTAACAATGTAAATTAACAATTCACTCAGATTCCAGCATATTTGCAGTACCAGTTTTCACAATGAACAAAAACATGCTATGCTTCCAAAATGCATTGAATTTCAGACGTTTATTTCACTCCTTGTGAAGGACTTACGATTTAAATTTTACAATGCAATTGACTTTAAAGCAGCATACAGGTGTAAATGAAAACAGATCTTAACTGAGAGCCGTTGGAAGAACTTTTGCAAACTTCTCTTAGATGATCATGCTAAAATTATGTTGACAATGAAGGAGACTTCCATCAAAATATGTGGATCAATGTATTGAAACTGTTAGGGAGTGTAAAAGACCTAAGGGATCCAAGCACAACTGACAGTTTCATCTGTCAGTAGTTAGTTTCATCATTAGTCATTAGCTTCATCTAATACAGTAGCTTCATGTCGTGGTTCCGCTCGAGTGGGCAGCCGAGCTTCAGCACAGCCGCTCTCTCACTCCCCCTCCTCAAAGAGGAATGGGGAGAAAATATGTGAAAGGGGCTCAAGGATTGAGATAAGGACGAGAAAATCACGCAATAATTAGTGTAACGGGCAAACCAGACTCAGCATAAGAAGACAGATAGTAAGATTTATTACTCATTACTAACAAGCTAGAGAAGTGAGAAACAAAGGAAAGAAACCAAAAGCACCTCCCCCCCCATCCACCCTCTTCCACCTCCTCCCCCCGAGCGGCGCAGGGCAACGGGGGAATGGGGGTTATGGTCAGTCTACAGCACTTCTTCTCTGCCGCTCCTTCTCGGTCACTCTCGTCCCCTGTGCTGTGGGGTCCCACCCACGGGATGCAGTCCTTGACGAACTGATCCGGCGTGGGCTTCCCACAGGCAGCAGCTCTTCCAGAACTGCTCCAGATATGGGTCCG